GCTGGCAGGTTGGGGCACTTGGGCACCGTGGTGGTTTGCTGGGCTCCTTGGGTATACGGCTGCTTTAGGGACGGGTGAACCAGCCTGATGGGAGAACTGTCTGTCCCCAAGGCACTGTCACCTGCCCCCATGAAAGACCGCACAGGGGATGGAGGCTGGGTGAGCTCCCGCTCATGGCCTTGGAGCTGTGTGGCTGTGGGCCAGTCACTCAGCTTCTTCTGTGTCTGTGGCCCCGCCTATAAATGGGTCCAACCAGGCTGACTCCTGTCCACCTGACCCAGCCACTGAAGCGACGGCTGCTCAGGAGGCCTGGCGGAGGCCGCTGCATCCGTCCTGGGCGGAGCTGGACTTGAAGGGAGGGGCAGGCATTGGGGGGTCTGCCCTGGTGGTGGGTCCTCCTTTCCCTGCAGACCCCACGTCTCAGAACAGGAAAGGCACGGAAGTCCTGGGGATCAAAGGGGGCGGACAGGGCAGGTTGGCCAAATCTGGCTGAGATTCAGAGCAGGGGGTGCTACAGCTAACCGCCCTGGCTCCAGCCTCGTGGGTCTCCTGGGGACCTGGGCAGGGGCGGCCAGATCCAGAGCCAGGCAAACGATTTGTTTGGGGACACACCCACGAGCACCCTGGGTCTGGCCCAGAGATGGGAAACCCCACAGGAAGATGCTGTTACCTGAGGACTGTGGCGGGGGGATCATTGCAGCCTTGAAAAGGAGAGAAAGGCAGAGTGAGGATTCTGGGATGGCTCCTCGCACAGGCACACGCGGCTGACGCTCAGCCCGGATGACACGGGTTACTTACGGCTTCGCCAGGCTGCAGGGCCGGGCTGTGGGAAGAAAGCGGACTGTCATCCTGGTTTGAGGAGTTGCCTCAGCATCAGCCCAGCGCGGAGTCTCGCGGAGCAGCAGAGGCGCCCGGGCTGTGGGGTCAGGCTGGATCTCACCCCCACCTCTCCCTGCAGGCAAGGGGCCAGCCTGGCCCTTGGCCCTACCACATTCCTCCAGGGAACCAGAGGTGCGGGGGCCTCCCAGCACCCCAGGCGCAGTCCCCTCTCCCCAGACCCACCTTCCCACTCAGCAGAGGGGACGAGTCACCCTCAAGGGAGAAGCATTTCCCTAGGCTCCAGGGTCCCAGAGGAAGGGCTGCCCTCCCACCCTCCCAGGACGAGCCTCAGGCACGAGGTGGCTTTGAGCCCCAGGGCCGTGGGCTTCTGCTCTCATGGTGCCCCCCATGGTGGGGTGCTGTGGCACTGTGGTCAACCTGGTTTCTCCTTTGTCCTGTGGCCACCAGGGCTGACTAAGCCCTGAGCCCTGCCCCCACCCGGTAAGCCTACAGGCAGAGATGCTGAGCAGGCCGGGGCCTCTCGGTGCCTGGCTGTGCAGCAGCCCCTGGCAGCGGGCTCCCAACTGAGGCTGAACCCTGGGACCCCAAGAGAGGTGGAAAGGTGGACAGGGGGTCTCACAGCAGTCAGACGGGGCTGCCCACAGACCTGGGAGGAGGCCCCCAGCTCAGCATGACAGCCCGGCCAAGTGCTCACCTCGGGGTCCGATCTGCCGGCTGGACCATCTGCCTGGCAGAGACCCCGCGAGGGCCGGCCTGGGACAATGAGGGCAGGTACCATGGACCCTGCTCAGAACTCGCCTCTACCTGAAGGCACCACAGTCACCACAAGGTCTCTCGGTGGGAGGGGTCAGTGCCCAGGCCTGCGGTGACCATGTGTACAGCATGGTGTAGGCTGGGGTGTGGGCCCTGCACCAGCCTGGCCGGCCCTGACCCCAGGAGAGGGGAGGGAGGGGCCGTGGCTGCCAGAGGAGTCCCAGTGTCCAAGCTGCCGAGCCACCTGGCCCCGCTCCACTCGCCCTTTGTCATGCCCTGAGGGCCCGGGAGCCACTCTGCCGAGAGGGCTCCAGCGTGGAGGCTCTGGGCCCGAGGAAGGCCCCTTGCGTTTCGACCTCAAACCCACACACAGCCGTTTCCGGGAAGTGACGGCTCTTCTCACAACTGGACCCAAAAGCCACGTGGCAGACCCTGGGGCGCCCCATCCCCACAGCTGGGTCCCACCTGCCTGTGTCCTCCCGTGGGCAATGCCGCTTTCACCAGGAGATACCTTTATTCTTCTGTAGAAGACTCCTGGGGAGTTTACCGAGCGCTGAGGTAGAAAAACCCTGCTACGGAGAGGATGAGTCCGGAGCTGATGAAGAAGGTGCCCAGGAAGAGGGAGGCGACAATGCCGCGGGAGCTCCTGCAGACAGACACCGCTGAGCGGGCAGGAATAGGACGGTGGCCCTGGCTCTTGCCTCCTCGCCTGGCTCCCGGAGCTACCAGCGCATCTGCAGACTCGCTGCTCCCTGAACACGCCTGAGTCTCACGGGCCGGCTGTGGGTGCCGAGGGCTCTGCACTTGGCCTTGGGTCATCTCGCAGGCTCAGCCATGCCTGGACATCTGGGCTGCAGGGTCTGGGGAGGTTAGCACCTGCCCCGGCCTCAGCTTCTGGCAGGAGTCGATGTTGGGAGCGCAGGATCTGGCCCTGGCCAGGCTCTGCAGAGACGCCTACCCCGATTCCAGCTGCCAGTTCCTGAAAAAGTCAGGGATTCTCAGCCTTGTTCCTTCCTGGGAATCAGCAGGCCCCTGGGGGCCCCCACACAGGGCAGAGGCTCTGCTGGCAGATGCCTCCTGCTCCCCACTCACCCACCTGCCTGGGCCAGACCTCCTGACTCACCTCCACCTGCCTGGGCCAGACCTCCCCACTCACCTCCACCTGCCTGGGGCCAGACCTCCCCACTCCACCTCCACCTGCCTGGGGCCAGGATGAGCCGGGCCATGGGCCTGGGGCCTATGGTGCTAAGGCGGGCTGCCAGGGTCGAGATGCTGGGGAGGGGACTTCCTGAACCGGAGACACAGGTGTGTTCACCAGGCTTGGGGCCTTGCTCTTCCGACTCCCCGGCACAGAGCCACAGGAGGCCAGGAGCCCATCTAGGCCAACTCTACTCCTAAAACACGCCACTCAGGTCAGCAATGACCCCGGTCAGGGCCCGGGTCCATGCTCTAAAGACATGAGGGTGCTGGGCTGCCTCCCAGAACACAAGCAGCCGGGCCCCGGCCCCAGGTCCAGCATGTCCTCCTCTGCTGAAGATGAGGGTCTGCAAGCCACGCCATTGTCTCAGGTGGGCCCAGAGGCCCAGGAGATGAGTCCGGTCTGGGAGACGGGGCCTCGTGTCCTCCTGAGGATCAGGTGTCGATGGCCTCGTACCAGGCAGTGTGGCAGCTATTCCTGTCCGGGCCTGCGTGTCCAAGGGCCTCTGGGCCACACACCCCAAAGAGCCACAGCATGGTTAGCAGAGACCTCAGAGCACCTGCTCCTCCTGGTTCCTGGGACTGTGACCACAGGCTGGGGCATTTGGGGCGAGCAGAGGCAGGACTGCCAGGGGAGCATGCCCTGAGAGACAGGGTGGCCATGTGAACCTGAGAGCATCCGGTGTGTCCATGAGCCGTGAGTGTGAACCTGAGAGTGTGTGGTGTGGCCATGAGCTGTGAGCGTGAGCATGTGCAGTGTGAACCTGAGAGCATGCAGTGTGTCTGTGAGCGTGAGCGTGAACCTGAGTATGTGCGGCTGGATATGAAACTGAGCATGTGCGGTGGGCGTGTGACTGTAACTGGAGAGTGCATGGTGTGGCTTGATGAGTGAAATCCTGAGAGGAAGGAGTGTGAACCTGAGAGGTGGCCATGAGCTGAGTGTGAACCTGAGAGCAGTGGTGTGGCCAAGAGCAGAACTGAGCGCAGTGTGGCCGTGAGCCATGAGTGGAACTGAGTGTGTGCGGTGTGTGGCTGTGGAGCTTGAGCGTGAAACCCGAGCATGGTGGCCATGAGCCGGGAGTGTGTGAACCTGAGCATGCGGTGGCCGGGATCAACTGAGATGAGTGTGGCCGTGAGCCATGAGGAACCTGAGAGTGTGTGGTGTGGGCCAAGGGAGTGTGAACTCAGAGGGTGGGCCATGAGCCAAGAATGAACCTGAGAGCATGTGGTGTGGCTAAGGAGCGTGAACCTGAGTTGCAGTGTGGCTAAGAGCAGAGTGAAACTGAGAGGTGTGGCCAAGTGTGAACTGAGAGGGTGTGGGCCGTGAGCCATGAGTGTGAAACCTGAGAGCAGCAGGCTTGAACCGTGAGGTGAACCTGAGAGCATGTGGTGTGACCGTGAGCCGGGAGTGTGAGCCTGAGAGCGTGTGGTGGGCTCGGTGATCAGAAACTGAGAGGTGCGGGGCCGTGAGTCGGAGCGTGAACCTGAGAATGTATGGTGTGGCTTGAGCCAGGAGTGTGAAACTCTGAGAGGTGCCGTGACGGGAGGTGAGCCTGAGAGTGTGTGGTGTGGCCATGAGTGTGAACCTGAGAGGGTGTGGCCATGAGCCATGAGTGTGAACCTGAGAGTGTGTGGTGTGGCCGTGAGCCAGGAGTGTGAGCCTGAGAGCGTGTGGCCGTGAGTCGTGTGTGAACCTGAGAGTGCGCAGTGTGGCCGTGAGCCGTGAGTGTAAACCTGAGAGTGCGCAGAGTGGCCATGAGCCGGGAGCGTGAACCTGAGAGTGCGCGGTGTGGCCATGAGCCGTGAGTGTGAACCTGAGAGTGCACGGTGTGGCCGTGAGCTGTGAGTGTGAACCTGAGTGTGGCTGTGAGCCGTGTGAACCTGAAAGCGTGCGGTGTGGCCGTGAGCCGTGAGTGTGAACCTGAGAGCGTGTGGCTGTGAGCCGCGTGACCCTGAGAGGGTGCAGTGTGGCCGTGAGGGCCTCCCCTAACTACGGCCCTTTGGAGATGTGGTGGAGCCCTGGCGATGCCCCCACACCCCCACCCACGTCAGCTGACCCCAAGTCGCAGGGGCTGCCGCACTCTCCACTGGCCCTGTTTTGCAGACCCTGAGCCTGCTGTGGCCGCGTCAGTGGTCAGGGTCTGCACTGGCTCTGACAGCCCCAGCCCCCAGGACACCGGCAGAGGCGGCCATGGCCTGCTGAGACTTACCGGGATGTGGCCGCCCGGGGGTCCCTGAGCTTCTGTTCATGGGGAATGGCGCACCCCGGCCAGCGACTGTAGGAGAGCAGAGCCGTGGGAAGCCTGTGTGCATGGAGCCCACAGGGACACCCACGAGCACCCTGAAGGGGATCTCAGGCCGGAAATACGAAAGCAAGTGGCTGAGGGGGTGGAGCAGCCCTCACCACAGAGCTGTCCCGAATGGGCCAGAGGACTCGAGAAGAGGGGGCTCCCGGGGCCATTCCCCCAGTGGACAGTGGCTCTGGGGCAAGGTGGGGACACAGACAGCAACTCCCACAGTTTCTCCCACAGCTGGAGCTGTGAGAAGGGAGCCAGGGGCAGCCGGGCAGACCTACAGCTTCTACACTCGGAGCCATTGTAGGCTGGGAGGGTTCCGTTCCCACAGCGGACACAGCTGGCGCTCCCGTCCGCATTCCAGTGCCTGTAGCAGCCTGCGTGGGGCAGAGAACAGGCAAGTCAGCCAAAGCGAAATCCACACCAGCTCGGTCTCCTGGGAATGATTCTCTGAGTTGGTGAGGTAACTTCCACTCCGGACACTAACACAAACGTGTTCTGGAGGGTGGGCAGGCGGTAGACAAGGACACCCCCAGGGAGCGTGGCGGGGCCCTGAGCACTGCACACTGTGCACTCCACACAGAGCACCCTGGCCCTGAGCACTCCACACTGCGAGCTCCAGAAAGTGGTAGGCAGCAGCATCCGGAATGAACAGGCCTGTGGTGGGGGCTTGTGCTCTGCAGGACTGGAGGATGGGCCCAGCTTCCACCACCCAGCTCTCGCCCCACGGACTCTTCAAGAACCCCCACTGCAATGCCTGCCCCATGGCCTCCCCCAGGACCCCCCAAGGCCTCCCCAGGAACCCCCACGGCCTCCCCAGGAACCTCCCCATGACCCCCCCTAAGGCCTCCCCCAGGACCCCCCACGGCCTCCCCAGGACCCCCCACCACGGCCTCCCCAGGACCCCCCCACGGCCTCCCCAGGACCCCCCACTCAGGACCCCCAAGGCCTCTTGGCAGGAACCCCCACGGCCTCCCCCAGAACTCCCCATGACCCCCTAAGGCCTCCCCCAGACCCCCCACGGCCTCCCCAGGACCCCCCACCACGGCCTCCCAGGACCCCCCCACGCCCCCAGACCCCCCACGGCCCCCAGACCCCCCACGGCCTCCCCAGGACCCCCCACGGCCTCCCCCAGGACCCCCCACAACCCCCCATGGCCTCCCCCAGGACCCCCCACGGCCTCCCCAGGACCCCCACCTGCAATGCCTGGAGCCGCTGCCTCGCATGCAGTGTTCCCTCTAGCGGTCCAGGCAGGACAGGCCCACCCCCAGCAACACAGCCTCCTGCCCCAAGCTGATCCTGACCTTTGGTCCGTCTGTCACCTCCACACCCTGGCGCCCTCCCCGGGGTTTCTCCTGGGGGATCCTGCAAAACCAAGCCTCATTCCCACCCCAGGCCGATGCTGCCCCGAAGCCTCATTTCTGCCCACCAGCCAGGGTGCCTTTAAGGACAGGACTTGACTCTTACCCCTCGACTTTCCAAGTATCTCCAACACTTAGCCTAGAGCTGAGCAGACACACGCTGGATGCTGACTACAGTGCTGATGCTGGTGTGGGCCACGGGTGGACCACACGCCTTGACCCTTCCTCACGGACTGACCTGAATACGAACTGGCCGTGGCGACACGGGGATCCCGCGCTGGAGAGTGGGCCTGGGCCGCGCGGTTGTGACAGGGGCCACTCTGCGGATGCACCTCTTGGGAGAATGGAAGCCCACCCACTCAGTCCTCCCAGGGCGGAGACGCGTTCTCCCAGCACTGGCGCAGCCTGTCTCCCGGCATCTCCTGGCACAGGGCTCAGGCGGACCTCAGTGAGGCTCACTCTGACCTGAGAGTCTCTTGCCCCAGAGGCTGAGGAATGGAGTCCACGGCAGGGAGCCCAACACCAGCTCTGCGCTGTCCCCAGAAGTGCCCACTGCCTCCCCGAGCGGAGACGTGACCGGGCTTCTCTGAGAGCTGCCAATGGTGGGGCCGTACACAGGGAGAAGTGCATCCAACACCGAGGCCTGGCCCCTCTCCACACGCGCCTGACGGTTCCCACCCTGCGCCCGTACATGGGGCCACCTCGGCCCTAGGAACTCACGACCTGCTGGCCTGGCCCCTCCATGGGCACCATGACTGCTGCATAGCTGCCTGCGCCCACGCAGTGCCTGGGGTGCACGACCCCTCACAGGAGACGCCGCGCCCCCAGCACGCAGTGCCTGAGGTCTCTCCACACGCGCCTGGACGTTCCCACTCCTGCGCCCGTACATGGGGCCACCTCGGCCCTAGAACTCACGACCTGCTGGCCTGGCTCCCTCCATGGGCACCATGATTGCTGCATAGCTGCCTGCGCCACGCAGTGCCTGGGGTGCACGACTCCTCACAGGAGACGCCGCGCCTCAGCACGCAGTGCCTGAGGTCTCCTCACAGGAGACGCCACGCCCCAGCACGCAGTGCCTGGAGGTACAGACTCCTCACAGGAGACGCCACCCCAGCACGCAGTGCCTGAGGTCTCCCTCGCCAGGAGACGCCACGCCCCAGCACGCAGTGCCTGAGGCTCGCTAGAGACGCGCCTCAGCACGCAGTGCCTGAGGCTCCTCACAGGGAGACGCGCGCCTCAGCACGCAGTGCTCGAGGTTCTCACAGGAGACGCCACGGCCTCAGCACTCAGTGCCTGAGGTCTCCTCACAGAGACGCCCACGCCCCCAGCAATTCAGTGCCTGAGGCTCCCTCACAGGAGATTTCCTACGCCCCAGCACGCAGTGCCTGAGGTACAGGACTCCTCACAGGAGATGGACGCCTCAGCACTCAGTGCCTGAGGTACAGACCCCTCACAGGACGCCACGCCCCAGCACGCAGTGCCTGAGGTACAGGACCCCCTCACAGGAGACGCTACGCCCCAGCACGCAGTGCCTGAGGTACAGGACTCCCTCGCCAGGAGACGCCACGCCCAGTGCACGCAGTGCCTGAGGTTCACAGGAGACGCCACGCCTCAGCACGCGTGCCTGGGAAAGCCTCCCCTCACAGGAGACGCCAGCCAGCACGAGCAGTGCTCGAGGTCTCCCCCACAGGAGACGCCGGCGCCCTAGCACGTGAAAGCCTGAGGTCTCCTCACAGGAGACGCCACGTGCCTCAGCACTCAGTGCCTGAGGTCTCCCTCACAGAGTGACGCCACGCCCCAGCACTCAGTGCCTGAGGTCTCCCCCACAGGAGACGCCACGCCCAGCACGCAGTGCCTGAGGCACAGGACCCCCTCACAGGAGACGCCACGCCCCCAGCACGCAGTGCCTGAGGTACAGGACCACAGGAGACGCCACGCCCCAGCACGCAGGAAAGTGCCTGAGGTCTCCCTCACAGGAGACGCCACGCCCCAGCACGCAGTGCCTGAGGTACAGACCCTCACAGGAGACGCCACGCCCCAGCACTCAGTGCCTGAGGCCAGGACCCCCTCACAGGAGACGCCACGCCCCAGCACTCAGTGCCTGAGGTACAGGACCCCCACAGGAGACGCCACGCCCCAGCACGCAGTGCCTGGAGGTCTTCCTCACAGGAGACGCCACGCCCAGCACGCAGTGCCTGAGGTCTCCTCACAGGAGACGCCACGCCCCAGCACGAGTGCCTGGAGGTACAGACCTCACAGGAGACGACGCCCCCAGCACGTGCCTGAGGTCTCCCTCACAGGAGACGCCACGCCCCAGCACGCAGTGCCTGAGGTACAGGACTCCCTCACAGGAGACGCTTACGCCCCCAGCACTCAGTGCCTGAGGTGGCAGGACCTCACAGGAGACGCCACGCCTCAGCACTCAGTGCCTGGGAGGTATGACCCCCACAGGAGACGCCACGCCCCCAGCACGCAGTGCCTGAGGTCTCTCGCAGGAGACGCCACGCCCCAGCACGCAGTGCCTGGAGGCCCCCCTCACAGGAGACGCCACGCCTCAGCACGCAAAGCGCCTGAGGTACAGGACCCTCACAGGAGACGCCACGCCCTGTGCTACACGAGTGCGCCTGAGGCTCCCCTCACAGGAGACGCCACGCCCCAGCACGCAGTGCCTGAGGTCTCCTCACAGAGACGCCACGCCCCAGCACGCAGTGCCTGGAGGTGGTTGTGACCCCCTCACAGGAGACGCAACGCGCCCAGCACTCAGTGCCTGAGGTCTCTCACAGAGACGCTCGCCCCAGCACGCAGGTGCCTGAGGTCTCCCTCACAGGAGACGCCACGCCCTCAGCACGCAGTGCCTGAGGTAGACCCCTGCCAGGAGACGCCACGCCCCAGCACTCAGTGCCTGAGGTACAGGACCCTCACAGGAGACGCCCCAGACGAGTGCCGAGGTACAGGACCTCGCTGTGAGACGCCACGCCCCAGCACGAGTGCCTGAGGTCTCCTCACAGGAGACGCTACGCCCTCAGCACTCAGCCTCGAGGCTCCCCTCACAGGAGACGCACGCCCCAGCACGCAGTGCCTGAGGTCTCCTCACAGGAGACGCTGGTCGCCCCAGCACGCAGTGCCTGAGGTACAGACCCCTCACAGGAGACGCCACGCCCCAGCACGCAGTGCCTGAGGCAGGACCCCTCACAGAGACGCCACGCCCCAGCACGCAGTGCTCGAGGTGCACAGGACTCCTCACAGGAGACGCCACGCCCCAGCACGCAGTGCCTGAGGTTCTCACAGAGACGCTTACGCCCAGCACTCAGTGTGCCTGGAAGCCCTCAGGAGACGCCACGCCCCCAGCACGCAGTGCCTGAGGTCTCCTCACAGGAGACGCCACGCCCAGCACGCAGTGCCTGGAGGTAGCAGAGATCTCACAGGAGACGCCACGCCCCCAGCACGCAGTGCAGTGCCTGAGGTACAGGACCCTCACAGAGACGCGGCCCAGCACGTGTGCCTGAGGTACAGACCCTCACAGGGAGACGCTGGTTTCCCCAGCACGTGCAGTGCCTGAGGTGGCGTTGCACCCTCGTGAGACGCCACGCCCCAGCACGCAGTGCCTGAGGTACAGGACTCCTCACAGGAGACGCCACGCCAGCACGCAGTGCCTGGAGGTACAGGACCCCTGGCTAGGAGACGCTACGCCCCAGCACGCAGTGCCTGAGGTCTCCTCACAGGAGACGCCACGCCAGCACTTCAGTGCCTGAGGTCTCTCACAGGAGACGCCACGCCCCAGCACAGTGCCTGAGGTCTCCCACAGGAGACGCACTTCTCAGCACGTGAGTGCCTGGTGTGGGCAGACCCCTGCCACAGGAGACGCCACGCCCCCAGCACGCAGTGCCTGAGGTGTACAGGACCCCTCAGGAGACGCCACGCCCCCAGCACGCAGTGCTGAGGTACAGGACCCTCACAGAGACGCCACGCCCCAGCACGCAGTGCCTGAGGTACAGACCCTCACAGGTGAGACGCCACGCCCCCAGCACGCAGTGCCTGAGGTACAGGACCCCTCACAGGTGGGAGACGCCACGCCCCAGCACGCAGTGCCTGAGGCAGGGACCCTCACAGGAGACGCCACGCCCCAGCACGCAGTGCCTGAGTCTCCCTCACAGGAGACTCACGCCACGCCCCAGCACTCTGCCTGGTGCCCCTCACAGGAGACGACGCCCAGCACGCAGTGCCTGAGGCTTCACAGAGACGCCACGCCCCAGCACGCAGTGCCTGAGGTACAGGACCCCCTCACAGGAGACGCCACGCCCTCAGCACGAAAGCCTGAGGTACAGGACCCTCACAGAGACGCGACGCCCCAGCACCCAGTGCTGAGGTACAGGACCCACAGAGACGCGCCACCCAGCACGCAGTGCCTGAGGTACAGGACCTCACAGGAGACGCCACGCCCCAGCACGCAGTGCCTGAGGTACAGGACCCCCTCACAGGAGACGCCACGCCCCAGCACGCAGTGCCTGAGGTACAGGACCACAGGAGACGCCACGCCCTGCATCGCAGTGCCTGAGGTACAGGACCCCTCACAGGAGACGCCACGCCCCCAGCACTCTTGCTGCCATGGGGGTGTGAGTGGAGTGGTTTTCACCTGGCCACCAGGGCTTCAGCATCAGAGCATGAGGGGCCCCAAGGTGCTCTGTTTCCTCCCAGTCCCTCTGTTCTCCCTCAGAGCGGTGCCACCCTCCTCCTCCTACGCCGCTTGCACCTCAGATGTCACCACTGCCTTCCTGCAGCCTCCCCAACTCCCACACCCAGCCTCGGGCCCCCATGCCCAGCCTCGGACCCCCACGCCGAGGCTCACTGGCTGCCTGAGCCTCTGTCTTGGCCATGCCCTCTTCACAAGGCCCCTGGGTCCCCAGGAGCAGCCCCTCTGGGTTCTTCCATCATGGGAGGGCTGGACGCCCAGGATGAGAGTGCCAAGGCCCTTGGAGGGACAGCCTGCGCATCTCAGCCCCAAGTCCACCATGGCCCCACTGGAGACCACCCCAAGGGCTGCCAAGGAGAGGACCTTGCACCTTCTCACTCTGTCCTCCCCTCTCCTGGCTGCTCCCACTGGCTGCCCCCACCAGCCTCGACCTCCCGACGTCCAGCTGCCCCCAGGCAGTCCCTTCTGCAGCCTCCCAGAACCTCCGATGCACACGGCCTGCCTGTGGCGCACTGACACAGGCATCCTCTGGCAGCATCCCACTCCACGCACCAGGCGCCAGCAGCACCTCTGCCCGAGCACGGACCAGCAAAAATGTCTCGGGCTTTGCCAAAGGCCCCTAGAGCCAGGACTGCCCCGTGAGAATGGCTGAGCTCATGGGCCACTCCCCCAGACCCTTCCCCTAGCACCTTTCTGTTCTCAGCTCCTGCCTCTGCTCCCAGCCCTGTGCCAGGCCAGTCTCCTCACTGGGCCGATGCTCAAGGCCACCCGCCAGGAAGGAGGTTCAGCTGTCCTTCCCCAAGCTCCACAGTCCTCACCGCCCTGTCCACTCCCCTGGCCCCGCAGTGCAGATGAGCACTGTCCTTGTCACCGAGGGGAGGGACCTCGGCACACACGCCAGTGGCTCAGTGACTGATCTGGAATCTGCTTAGGACAAAGTAGCTTACCTGGGCCACACAGGCTTGTGCCTGGGCAGCTGGCGTTGACACCCACCACATCCACACAGCACTCGGGCAGCTGGGCCTGGAGGGGACACAGCAGTGAAACTCCAGGACGCACCTGCCAGGCAGGCTCGTGCCCAGAGCAGCAGTGGCTGAGGGGTGCCGTGTGAGCACATCTCGACATCCACAGCTCCAGCCTCTTCTGGAGTCAGCATCGGGTGGCCCTCTGTCCCCTGTGGGCCTGGGAGCAAGGAGGGGATACTCATGGCCACAGTGCACATCCCTGTGGGACCCTGGGTGGGCGGTCTCCAAGGAAAAGCTGGGCCTGGAACAGAGTAAACCACCCCCACGAGGTGGCACCCACAGGCCGTGGCAGTGCCACCGACATTCTCTGCAATTCTCTGGACACCCCTCCATCACAGGTTTCCAGCTTGACCCCACAGAGGAAGTGCCTGGGCCTGGCTGGCGTTTCAGGGGACAAATTCACACCTGGGTGCCCAGGTGCTGCACAGGTGCACTGGGTGCTGGCATTTACGGTGTGTGTGAGGGCCCATTCCTTAACCACAGGCAGGCTGGACAGGCCTGGGGGGCTCAGGGTGCCCTCGGCTTGTGTGTTGATCACAGCTGTGCTGTTGCTCGTCACCTGAATGCAGTGAACGGTGAGGGCGTTCAGGGGTGACGGTGGAGTACGGGAGAGAATCCACACCACCAGGGAGAGGTCCAGGTCCAGTCCCTCAAACGCCCCAGCCAGGTTGGCGAGGGGTCCCCACCCCCCACCCACTCGGACTGGGAGTCTGGAACCGCTGCAGCTACACTCCCCGATAGCAACGTGCGGCGGGCTGTGCCGTCACCGCTGGCAGAGCTGCTCCCAGTGCGGGTCAGGATGCCTCACCACGGGGACCCTGCCAGACCCAGCCATTCCTGAGCAGGTGCTCACCAAGCAGGCAGTGCAGGGCTCCCCTCTGCGAGGCACAGGCCCCTCTGACCCCAGCAGTGGACCCGGTCAGCACCTCTGGGGCTGGGACATCAGTGTCCTAAAGGTTGAAGGGTTAGACCCCTAGGGCAAGGGCCCACCGCCCTCCTCAGAGGCCCTGGCTTAGGCCGCGTGGACACCTGACGGGGGCACCTACCATGTTCTCCATGGACTTGCTTGCAACTCCCACCAGAAGGCCAGCCAGGAAGGCGAGGTGCCGCAGCGCCATGCCAGGAGCGGATGCGCAAGGCCTGCAACAGTGAGGAGTGCGCAGAGCCAAACACATGGGGTGGGGCCGAGGCAGCGGGGGTGGGGCCAAATAGAGATGTTGGCGGGGCGGGCTGAGGCAAGGAGGGTGGAGCCAAATGGAGATGAGTGGGGCTGTGGTGGGGAGGGCGGGGCCAAATGAAAGTGGGTGGGGCTGTGGCACGGAGGGTGGGGCTAAGTGGAGATGGGCTGAGGCAGGGAGGGTGGGGCCAAATGGAGATGGGCAGGGCTGTGGTAAGGAGGGCGGGGCCAAATGGAAGTGGGTGGGGCTGTGGCAGGTAGGGTGGGGCCAAATGGAGGTGGGATGGGGCGTGGCAGAGGCAGGGACGAAAGTGCGAGGGCTTGGGGCCTTTGGAGGCACGGGTGGGGCGAGGTGTAGGCGGGGCCTTACCTGCCCCTCCAGGATGTGGGATACCGACATCAGCCCTTTGCCCGCCCTGGTGGTCAGGGGTTAGCTCTGGGAGCTCATGGGTTCAGCTGAACCGTGCAGACCCGGGCCCAGTCCTGCAGATGAAGGCAGCAGGTGAGGCTGTGGTCACTCGAGGGCAACCCATGTGGGCTGTGGCCTACAGTGCGGGGTCTGGGTCCAGTCTGGGCCCTCTGTCCACACCCTTGCTGGTCCCTGGCTGTCGAGCAGAGCATCCTGGAGGGGCCGTCCCTGGGCTGTGGGGGCCTTGGCAGGGCTGTCTCCACGAGCATTTCCCCCGAGCTGGCCTGCTGGCCTCCTGCGGGTGACAGTGCCTGGGATACAGGCCCTTGGCCTGGCCTTTGCTGAGGGAGCACGGACTCAGTGGCCCAGGCTGCACGCAGTGGGCACCGGTCCTCTCGCACAAACCCCTCTCTCTTGCACTTGCCAGCCACAGGACCTGGCACCATGGCCTTGCCTTCCTAAGTAAAGGGAGGAGACGCCTGCCAGGCGCACAAACCCTCAAGTGGTATCACTGCACTGGCTCAGGGGCCTCCCTGGCAAGTTACCCTGAGAGGGGCTGAGGCCGAGCCAGGCCTGTAGAGCTCCTCTTGATGGCCTAGGCCAGGGGTCCTTGGACAAGGGCTGTGAGCAGCAAGGAGACTGAGGCCCTGGAGGACACAGATCCAATCCCCTGCCACAGGGATGTTCCACTCTGTCACCCACTCCATGCTGGATTGAGGTCATGGCCTCACAAACGGACCAGGCTGCCTAGGTGTGAGCCTGCTGGAGGACTCTGGGAGGTGGGGGTGGTCGGAATTCTTGAACTCAGGAGTTGGAGACCAGCCTGGGCAACACGGCCAGACCCCATTAAACTTTACAAAAAGTTTAAAATTAGTTGGGCCTGGTAGCGGGAGCCTGAGGTCCCAGCTACTCAGGAGGCTGAGGTGGAAGGATCACCTGAGCCCAGAAGGTGGAGGCTGCAGTGAACCGAGACTGCACCACTGCACTCCAGCCTGCGCAAGGCGAACTCCATCTCGGAAGAAAAAAAAAAAAAAAAAAAAAAGGCACGCTCTCCTCTGATTCAGCTCCTCCTCTCTCTGACATGAAATCCTTCAGATGGAACGTGTTAAAGTCACAGACATGCTGCTCGCCCCACCCACAGAGTGTGATCAAGTCTGTTTTTCCTTTTGTCCCTTTAACATTTGCCCAGCAGAGTCCGTCTTCCTCTGCTTGGTGGAAAACTCCAGACATCACAGACCCTTCTGCTCCCTCTCTGGTTGAGGGCGTCCTGAGTACCACATTAAGTCACAAAACATCATTTTGATTCAGCAACTAGAAGACCAAGATTTCAACCAACACCTTCATCTGCTATTGAGTCAACTCTACAGAGGTGTACTTTACATACAATAAACCACATCCATGTCAGTACACAAGCGGGTGAGTCTGACCACCCCCTTGAAGCTGCCACCACAACTGGGACGGCGCCTGGTCCCACGCAGCTACCAGCGCTCGCTGCGGCCCCCAAAAGCCTGGGCTCCCGGCACCCAGAAGTTGACGGGACTGCAGCTGTATCTTCTAGGGTCTTATACAAAGGGGCTGCACACACTGACCTTCAGATCCTTCCATGTTGTTTTATCTGCACTTTCTTCCTTTCCACAGCCGAAGGATTTTTCCACCGTGTGGCCAAACATCGCCACCTTCACCCATCGTCTGCCGGTGGGTGCCTGGGCCGCTCCCAGTTCCTGGTGACTGGATGAAGCTGCGGCAGAGTCCCTGGCACATGTCCTCATGTGGGCATCTGTCTTCATTTCTCTTGGGAGCAGAGTGGCTGGCCCACAGGGAGGTGCACGTTTAACTTTCTGAGAAACTGCAGCCACCTTCCACAGGGGCTGCGCTGTTTGCCCTCCCACTGGCAGTGCGGGTGCACGCAGGGTGTCGTGCACGTGCAGGATCTTTGCCCTCCCACTGGCAGTGTGGGCGCAGGCAGGGTGCCGTGCATATGCCGGAGTCTGTGTTGTTTGCATTTCCCCAAAGACTAACGATGGCATCTTTCCATGCGCTTATTAGCCACTTATGTATCTTCTTTTCTGAAGTGTCTGCTCATATCTTCTGCCCATTTTGTTTAATCGGGTGGAGCTGTAACATACACTTTTTTGGCGGGGTGGGGTGGGGTGGCGGATAGGGCCTCACTCTGTCGCCCAGGCTGGAGTGCAGTGGCGCCATCGTGGCTCACTACAGCCTTGACCTCCGGGACTCAGGCGATGCTCCTACCTCAGCCTCCTGAGCAGCTGAGACTACAGGTGCGCATCACCACCGCACTCGGCTAAAACACATATTCTTCATCAGATTTATGTGTTGCAAATATTTTCTTCCATCCTGTGGTTTGTCTTACTTTTTTTTTTTTTTTTTTTTGAGATGGAGTCTCATTCTGTCGCCCAGGTTGGAGTGCAGTGGTGCAATCTCGGCTCACTGCAAGCTCTGCCTCCCGGGTTCACACCATTCTCCTGCCTCAGCCTCCCGAGTAGCTGGGACTACAGGCGCCCGCCACCTCACCCGGCTAGTTTTTTGTATTTTTAGTAGAGACAGGGTTTCCCCGTGTTAGCCAGGATGGTCCCCATCTGCTGACCTCGTGATCCGCCTGCCTTGGCCTCCCAAAGTGCTGGGATTACAGGTATGAGCCACCGCATCTGACCCCTGTCTTATCATTTTCTTATGGACATCTTCTGAAGAGCAAACATTTTTAATTTTAATGAAAGTTTTAATAAAATTGAATGCATCAATTTTTCCTTTTGCGGTTCTTGTTTTTTGTGTCCTAAGAAACCTCTGCCTTGACCTCACGGTCACTAAGATTTACTGCTTTCTTCCAGAAGTGTTACGGTTTTAGTTTTTGCATTTTGAGTCACCTTTGTGTATGGTGAAATGCAGGTCAAACGTCATTTCTTTCCTTATATATAAACAGTTGATAAAAAGACTTCTTTCCATGTGGAATTATGTTGATATCTTTATTGAAAATCAATGGACTATAGATGTGAGGTCTATTTCTGGGCTTTCTATTCTGTTCCACTCACCTGTGTGTCTCCTCTTCAGGGATACCATGGCTGACGGGATTACTGATGCAGTAATTAGAATAGAAACTTTGAAATCAGCTCTGCTTTCCTTAATTGCTCTGGCAATTCTAGGTCACATGTGTTTCCTATTTTAGACTCATTGTTTCAATTCCTACAAAAAAGCCTACTGCGATTTTGGCTGGGAGAGCTGAGGTGTGAACAGGATTGAGGCTTTTCATCAGGGACATGCTCTCTCTCATCATCCCTCCACGTCTTCTTCTGTGTGTCTCAGCAGTGTTTATAGTTTTCAGTCAATAGGTCTTGTATATCTTTCATCAAGGTAATTACCAAGTATTTTACTTTTTGTTATTACAAATGGAATGGAATTTCTGATTTCATTTTCCAATAGTTTGCTGCTACTATATAACGATAAAATTTTGCACATTAACCTTGATTTCTGGAATCTTGCCAAATTCACTTAATAGTTCTAGCAATTCTCTGTGGCTTTCTTAGGGTCCTCTACATAAACAATCATGTCATCTACAAATAAATAGTTTTACTTCTTCCTTTCTAATCCTTGTGACTTCAACTTGCCTTTTTTCTTACCTTATCGCAGTGGCTGGGACTTTGAGTATAATGTTGCACAGAAGAGTGAGAATGGGTGTCATCCTTGTTCTTGATTTTAGGGATAAACTGCTCAATGTTTCGGCATTAAAACTACCATGTCTAGTGTAGGTTTTTCATAGATGGCTGTGTATCAGACTCAGCCTGTGTATCAGACTCCTTCTATTCTTAGTTTGCTGAGGTTTATTTAAAAAAATCATAAAACAGGTATAAATGTTTCCAAATGTCTTTTCTGCACCTATTTCACTGTTTGTCCTTCCCTTCTTTATTCTAGTGACATGGTGGTGACAAAGATTGATTTATGAATCAAAACAACCTTGTATCACTGGGATAAACCATGCTTGGCCGAGGGGTGCTGCCCTCTTAGGCTATTGTTGGATTTCACTTGCCAATACCTTCTTAAGGATTTTTGCCTGTGTTCATGAAGGATAGTGGTCTATAATTTTTTTTTTAGATGTCTTTGTCAGGTTTTGGTATTGGGTTATATTGCCTCATAAAACCAGCTGGGAAATATGCCCTCCTTTTTTAAAGAGAGACAGGGTCTCACTCTGTTGCCAGGCTGGAGTGTAGTGGTGCTATCATAGCTCACTGCAGCCTTGAACTCTTGCGATCAAGGGATCCTCCCACCTCAGCCTCCCAAAGTGCTGGGGTTACAGGGGAGTCACAGCACCCGTTCCCCCTCCTATTTTATTTCCTGAAAGACTGTGTAAGAATATTGTGATTTCTTCTTTGAATGTTGGCTAGAATTCACCAGGAAACCATGTATGTATGCCAGGAGTTTTCTTGGTAGGTAGGTTCTCTGGTAATGAATTCAATTTCCTGAACAGAAAGAGGGCCATGCAGATTTCCATCACTTTTGACCAGTTACATTCTTCCAAGAGTTTATCCATTGCATTGAAATTGCTACATTTACTGGCCTAAAATCGGTCATAATAGTCACCTAATATTTTGAAACATGGTCTCGCTCTGTCACCCAGGCTGGAGCATAGTGGTGTGACCTCAGCTCACCACGGCCTCAGTCTCCCAGGCCCAGGTCATTCTCCCACCTCGGCCTCCCAAGTAGCTGGGAACACAGGCAAGTGCTGCCACACTTGGCTAATTTTTTGATTTTTTTTTTTGTAGGGATAGGGTCTCACTATGAAACAAAACTGAAGTACGATGTTGTCAGGGCTGGTCTTGAACTCCTGGGCTCAATCAATCCTCCTGCCTCGGTCTCCCAAAGTGCTGGGATTACAGGCATGAGCCACCATGGCTGGCAATAGTCTATTACAATGTTTATAAGATCCTTAGAAATAGTGCCTCTTTTGTTCCTGATATTGGCAATTTGTGCTGTCTTTCTATTTTTTTCTTTTGAGACTGAGTCTCACTCTGTCACCCAGGCTGGAGTGCAGCGGCATGATCTCAGCTCACTGCAACCTCCGCCT